TATATATATATATACCTATGTAGGGGCAGTAGATTGAGATTTTTGATTTTTGGTTCAATTCCTTTCAATACATAAGTCTAGTCAGTTTACTCCTGTGACACTTTCAACCAATATTTTTTGTAGGATATTTTCTAGTTTACCAGGGCTTTAAATTTTATTGATATAAGACTGTAATTTTTTAAAAACATTTTTTTAATGAGTTGTTTTCCTTACTAATTTCTCTTTTTGTTCCTGATTAAATTTGTAAAATACTTGGTTACTTACTAGCCTTATCAAAGAATTAGTCTATAGATTTGTCAATCTACATTTTTACCTTTATTTTTCTATTAAGTTTTGTTCTTACTTTTATTATTTCCTTTATATACATCATTTACTTTGTTATTTTACTAACTTCTTAATTCAGATATTTAATTCACTAATTTTCAGTCATTTTTCATTTCTTCTAACAGAAATTGTAGTGGTATCACTGGGCTAGGATTCATTTTTAATATGACATCTTCAGTTTTGGGAAGAGATATCTCTCTAATCCACAAGGTAATATAAACTCAGACTCAACATCCCATGAGGGTCAGATTTGAGATTTTTATTTCTATAGAGAGATGTCTCCCCTAACTCAGAACTGGACAGTAGCAGTTTTATTTGTCTCCCTATGCTGGCGAATATATATTTTTTCTGGTTCACCTTTCATTGAGAAAATGTAAAAGAATCATAATTGTACCAGTTCCTTCTGTGTCTACTCAAACATTAACTTATCAGAAAGGACATTTTAAAATAACTCTCTAAATAGTCCAAATAATACTTAACCCAGTTGGTACATTAGATATTTGCTCATTTGTGATTTCTGTATCTTTCCCTGATCGCTACTAGAATTTCAAATCCTTGAGAGTAGGAACTTTATTTGACTGGATATTTGTCCTATTATTAAGCAAGACTAATTCTATTAGCCAGAAATATTTTAAGACAAAAGCAAAAATCTTGGCAGAAATCGAAATAGGACATAGATAATGCTTTCCTGCAAACTATGCCACTTAACTATCATAACTTACTCTCAGAGAACAGCTTTGTGGGTGTGCAATATGTTATATGAAAAGGGTATTCCAAACACAGACATATAATTTAAGTAACAATTTTAAAATGAACACCCATATAAATACAACTGAAGTCAAGAAGTAAAATGCTACTAGATCACAGAAGCCCTATGTAAATGTGCCATACTTTTCAAAACCAGCTTTTCATCTGTTTCCCGAGCACTTAACCACTACTCTAACTAAAGAAGACATCCTTGTTTCTCTTTATGGCATTATCAAACAATGCATAATTTTCCAAACATACAACATAGTTTATTTTTTCCTATCTTCAAACAGATGGATAGACAGTTGATATATATATACATATTGATAACATTTAAAATACTATAACATTGGAATATTATTATTATACATATTCAATTTTAAACAGTGTATTAATATTAGAAACCAATGGATCTGAAGAATGTTATATATATATATATCAATAAATTAACATGACAATATTCCTCAGAAATTTATTGAAAAGATATAGCTGAGAGGAAAATATTAAGCAACATATAATAAAAAAAGATTTTGAGCTTTTGTACAAATGAACTTTTTAGTTATATATTTATCTTTCAAATAACAGAGCATAAATCCAGTTAATTAGTCTATGGAGAAGGGAAACAAACTAGAGATTAAAATGTTCCCATATGGGAATGTGCCCAGTGGACTAAGGTAGAGGATGATGGGTGCTTTGGTGATAGGTGTGGTATGGTAACACATATATCAATAAAAATAAATAAGTAATTGGGTGGTTCCAGTGGGTGGAACAGGTAGAAGAGCTGTGATGATGATGGTGAAGGGTAATAAGATCTTTGGTAGAGGGCATGCTATGGTACATACAACTGTTAAGGGGTAAAGCTGTATACCTAAATCTTACTGTGTAAACCGAAGCTAAATAAAAATTAAAAAATACAAATTTTTAATTAAAAGTTAATGATATAAAAGATTATTATCAGACTTAAGAAACTATTTTTTAAATCACTATTCCACCTTGAAAACTCCAAAAATACTTTGAAGTAGCAGAAATAAGCTATACATATTGGAGAATACCCTTATCAAAACTGTCAACCTGTAAGACTATTATATGATACAGAATAGCATTTCCATCAACTTAAAAAAAGAGACCCAAACCTGTCAAGTTCTTTCTTTTGTCCTCCAAATGCAATTACAGTTCTAATTGCTGCTAAGACCTCTTCAGCTACTGCTCCAGCTTTTGCATATGCCAAAAGTTCTTTATCAGTAAATGAAGAAAGTATCTGTTTAAAAATGCAATTTGAAATAAAACTTTAACAATTTTATATTTTGTAAAGTAAAATAAGTACATATACAAATGTTTCTTGTATGCTAATATATGGGTAGAATAAAATCTGCCCTATATTTAATTAAGGTCATTATATTCTACTTTTCAACATATATATATATATATATATATATATATATACACACATATACATGAACATACATTTATTAGTGAGTCACTTCAAATTCTTTTTGAACTGTGATGATATACAATAAATTAAAATGATTTTTTTCACATGAAATACCTTGTGGATACTCATGTAAATAAATAAACCTGTAACTTTTGGGAGATCTCAAATTTTAGAAATGTATACAATTTCAACATTCATTAAAAATAGAGCAAAAAGTCTTGACATTAAGGAAATACGGTGTAAGCCCAACACAGTCATTGCAACACTAATCTGGTTCAAAATGTTGAGGTTAGAGGTAAAAAAAAGTGGAGGGAATCAAGCATGCATCATGACAGGACTTCCAGAAAGCTTTGCATACTAAGGCAAGCTCCTTTCCAGCTACTCAAAATATTCAGCTTTCTGACAGTCTTTGGGGATATCCTTTAATCCACCAGTTTGATCCCTGAGCATTTATTCTATTTAAGAAATAGTATTAGTTTCCTTGTATACACAGAATTTCATTTATTCTTCTCTACTGCACATGAAGTAGGCATTATTTCCCTAACTCTATATATGAAGAAGCATATTATATGTTAGATATACCTTTTATCATGCAAGCATTTGCTAATAAATAAAATGTCCAGGGTCAAGCCTGAGTCCATATAACTTCACAACCTGAATTAATAACAACTAGAGTGAATCTCTCTGAAACCAGCAAATATATGTTAATTTAGGTTCCAGAGCATCCTACTATGAAAACTCGATCAACTAGCACAGGCAGAAAACCAAGGTTAATACCTAAGTAGTCAATCATGTAACTAGAAGCAATTCATAATAAAATTCTGATTAAATATTATTATTTTAGTAAATAATACAGGCCTTGTGAACACACTGGTGTAAATAATATTGATTTATTCCTTCTCATTATAAAAAAGTTAAAATTGTTCTGATTTAAATAGTGCTTTTCTTCCTTTGCTATGTGAGAAAGTAAAAGAATCCATAATATATGTATGAGTGGGTGGGTGAAGGTAAATGGACACTTGTTTACTGTGTTTTATGTGTAGATATTGTACATGTTTTCCTTTGGTACCAAGGCAATACCCTACCAATGCACTAAACTTTCCTTCTCAAAACTATCCTCCCAAGGCTTCCTGAGGCATTCACAGTACTGGGTTTTGAGTCAAGTTGGTCAATGCCATTCCTAAACAAACTGATCTATAAGAGATTAAAGATTTTAACATATCTAACATATAATATGCAATTCAACTGTCCTCTTTTTTTTCTTCTATGACCTGTAATTATAAGCCTATGCCTAGGTAAGACTGCATTGTTTTGTGTGAAAGCATGTTTGTCAAAGAGAAAAATATCTTTCAAACTATTGTCAGGGATATGAAAAGTCAACTTCACTTGTTATTGTAATATAAAATGTAGAAGGGAGATACTTCATTACAATTACCCATACATTTAATATATAGTGTAATATACAATGTAAAACATTCAAAAACTGATAATTTCTTTAAGTCTAAGGAGTGTTAGTTTGAGACATATAGAATTGTCATTCCCTTTGTAAGCTGTCTTACAAAGGCAATTTTGTCTTATTCACTTTTTTTCTTTTTTTCTTTTTTCTTATTCACATTTATATATTCAGAAGTAATATTTTTGACCACTAAAATACTGGCCTTCATCTTTTGTCCCAATTTTCCATTTTGTTTTGAGATGATTTATAAATGCCTTTTCTTTTAAATAACTTTTTGAGATGCTTGCAGATTCACCTACATTTCTAGGAAACAATCAATAAGCTCATATGTGCTTCATATAGGGTTACTCAAAAGTGGCATCTTGAAAATTATAGTGCAATACCCTAACCAGGAAATTAATATTGTTATAATCTATCAATTTCATTTGGATTCACCAATTTGTAATGCACTTATGCATTGGTGTGTTTGGTTTTAACTAACTTTATCATGTATGTAGACTGACATGACTACAGACATGACACAGAAAAATTCTGTCACGAAGAGCCACTCTGCTACTCATTACAGCATAATTTGTTCTTTTTTAATACTTTCTATTTTATTGATGGCATTTTATGTTTAATTTTTCTTTTTAAGAGGATTGCTTAGTGAAGCATTTTTATAGCTGTTTTAAAGATTGTGTTAAATAATTCCAACATCTGATTTATCTCCGTGTTGGTGTCAGGTAATTTTTTTTCTCATTCAAATTGTGCTTTTCTTGCTACTTGGTCTAACAAGTAATTTTTATTGTGTACTAAATATTTTGACAATCAGGTTAGGGTCTCATTAGAATCTTGTATTTTAGCAAGAACTTTCCCTACCTAGGTTAAGCATGCAATTCTTGGCCTACTTTTGTGAGTTGTGGTTCCAGTGAAGTTTAATATTCAGAACCTTTATGGTAACATTTTGGTCAGTCTGGCTTATCTGGAACTACCTGAGCACCAACTCTCTGCTTCAGTTACCTAAGGGAGTGGAAGTGGTTTTTCAAGGTTGGACTATGAGTAATCTTTTGATGGGAGCAAGATGATTTCCCCTACGATCTAGCTGCACCTATGTCTTTGGGAGAAAAAAGAGATCTCAAGCAAGAGCTCTTAAGAAGCTCCCTGAACCAGCAAGTGTTCAATGACTAGATCCCTTTCTATTCTACCCTACTACCCTTCTGTCTCAGGGCTTTAAGGACAAAGAAGCTTCCTGAACTAAGTTACATTTGTTTCTTAGTATGACTGAAAAGGAGAAAATTTAAGAAGTTTGTTTGAAGCCCTATCAAAGTTTATAGTAAAGTAAGGATTAAAACCTAGGTCTCTAGTAATTATTGTTGAGCTCTATTTACTAAATAAGTAGTATATGAAACAATGAGTAATTATTAACAGAGTAACTTACTATTTCCCTAACTTAACTAGAATGAATATTAAAACATTTTTAAAAGTTTTTCAGCAAAGATTGATATGAGCTTGATATTTAACTTGCTTAGTATTTTAGTAAATAGAAAAATCAATTAACACACAAAGCTTTTGCCAAATATTTCAGCAAAACATAGAGATTACTTTAACCACCAAGAATACCATTTAAACCCTTTGTTACTGTATAACAAACTAACAGAGCTTTTTCCTCTGTAAAATGAGTTAACACATATACTTCTGAGAGTCAACAAGGTAAAGTTTCTAAAACTTCTTTACGCTTACAATTTATTTTGTTTCAGCTTCAACTTTAGCTAAGACATGTATGTGTACTTATGTTTTTTCACATATATATCTTTTATGTTTTTTTTGCCATAGGAATTTGGCAAGTTGATATTAAACCCAAGAGAAATTACTGGGCCAATCTCTCCACAGAAATCCAAATCACTTTAAAATTAACTTCATCTCTAGTTCTGAAAGGAAAATACATTTTACAGTATCATAAGTGGGCTTTGTGAAGAGTAAGAGAGGCCATTTGTACTATTTTACCTTCATGATGGAAGAACTGTAGGCTAAGACTTAGATGCATATGGAACTAAGAAGTAATCATTAAAAAATTATCATACTACTGAATTTATATATTTATAAACACAGGACCATTTACTATGTTGACAAAATTTTAAAGTTAATAGAAATTTTAAATCAGTCAGTAATAGTAAGTATGAAATAAATGCATACCTATTTTTGAAAAGATTTAAAACCAAGTATCATCCCAAGCTAGAGTAATCATGGGGTAAAGACAGCCTTTAACTGTGGAGTTGGGGTGGAAACAGATTAAACTCTGGATTCATAAGTTTCACCTACCTTTGCCCAAACAGCAGCTGAGACCCCAAGAACAGGACTAATGGCCAAAATCACAAGGGTTAGCTTCCAACCACGTGTAAATCCTATTATAAAACCAGTGAAAAACGTCGCTATTGACTGAAAAAACATTGCAATTTTGTCACCAATTCCTTCATTAATTTTGGAGACATCACTAAAAAAAAAATTGTTAGAAATAAATATCAGAATTGTGAACAAAGAACTTTCCTTCTGAATCCAACATGTTTGTTTCTTTAGATTGTTTTTAGTGTTTGTTTTTGAGCATGGGGTAAATCACTTTATAACTATAATCTTATTTGGGACTTTCCCCAGAAGGTATCACACTGTGGTTCTATTGCACACTCTCAGGGGATTTCTTGTCTGGCCAGTCCAGACCTCATGCAGTGTTAATTATGCAGGTTCCCTCATGCTTATGTAGAGTAGTGAGAATAAAATATGCACATGACCTGGTATCTATTCAGAAGGAACTGAATCCCACAATTTCTTGAGTGCTAATGTCATCCTTTCCATTTTGGTAAAAATCACATCTGGATTAAACATAAAGCTAGGTACTTACTCTGTGAGCCTTGTGTTTAGCTCCCCAACATCATGCACATCAAACCAGCCTATCTCCTGCCGCATTATAGCATGAAAAAATTGTTTTCTAATTTTGAATATCTGTCTTCCAGCTGCCAGGCACCAGAATGAAACCTGAATGTAAGCAGCAACAAGCACACCAGCACCAATCCCACTGTAGTAATAGGCATACCTGCAAAATAACAACAACGCTACACATATTCTGTTTCCTGAGCAACGCATCTTACACCAAGAAACCATCCATTCTTCCATTTTCAATTATCTGGCTATCTTTTAATCCTCAACAAATAAAAAGGGATTATAACAAATAGTGCAGATGGTCAGTATCCAGCAGTAGATGACCTTTGCCAATATAGAATTCAAAAGGAAATGGAATACTTAAGAGTGTGATTTCTATTTTGGTCCAAATCCCAGCTCTTTATTTAAATGCTGTATAATCATAGACAGCTACATATTCTTCCTATGCCTCATGAAGATTGGAAGAATAAAACGTTCTGTGTGAAATATACTTGGGGAGTGCTAAAAAAGAGAGCACTCAGGGAATATCAAAGACTTGAGTGGTACCTCAGAACAATACAATATTAGGTAAGATGAACCACCATAGTTCTGTTTACTTACATTTCTTCAGTCACTGTTGATGAATATTCTGGATAGTTTTAGCACACCAGTGAGTGGAAAGAAATAAAAAAAAAAAAAAAAAAAAAAAACTTGCCAGAAAGTGGGATCAAGAGAAGAGACTCCCCTAGTCTTTGAGATTATTAATCTGGCATATCTGGGATACCAAGAGATTACTGAAAATGAAATGCATGTGCCCTATTAGCAATTGTGAGTATCGTAAATTGTGAGAATCAAATAGTACCCTTCTAGTTCATACTCTAGCATTTAAAAAAATGCATTTTCTGAAACCAGGTCATTTATCATTTAGAAATGAATTTGTTTCCTAACTCTGAATCTTTATATTTAAGAAATTAATAACCAATGGGTTTCGCTAAGGAATTAATTTTAAGGTTTGAAGATAAGCATTCTAAAATTAAATATAGGATACCAATATTCCCATTTTTAAAAGTTCATTACTTGCCACCTTCAAATAAAAAAGTTTCTATGAACCGTGCCAAAGGCATAAAAAAAGGGTATGAAAATGAAAACCAAAAAAAAAAAAAAAACATATATTGTTCACAGGTTAGTGTTCTACACAACAGGAAACTTGGTATACATATTTTCCCTGAGCTATAGCTTACAGTTTCTAATATATTTATTGGAAGATATAATGATATTATTACATTATAGATAATAGGTAAGAAATGGTTATTATCAAAATGAAATGATAGAGCAAGAGTTAGTTAAAAAGAAACCCCACTCAACAAATAGAACTCATGTTTTGACAATCAGTTAATACATTTAAAGTATATTTATGCTTATTCACATAAAATATATTTATATTTGATGATTATATACATTTTTTCATTTTTGTCAATGTAAAACATGCCTCTGTAGGAATATCTGGAGGTATTTTCTTCTCATTTTTCAAAATATGATCAAGTGTCTCCATTTTCTTCAAATTTACCAGGTCATTTCTATAATAATGTGGAACTGGTATCTTTTGATCAACTAACCTTCGTACATCTTCTATAAACTGCTTTAGGGAGCAAACTTCAAGATATGTAAATCAATAACAAAACTTCCTGTGTGAGTTAAGATTAGGGTGATTATATTTATTCTGGGATGTTTAATTTCATTGTTTAGAATTAGATGATGAGCTAAAAATATCCTGCTGACCAATCTTATATCATAACTGAAAATATTCAAAAAGAAAACTAATAATTTCAAAGTCATTGCAAATGTTATTATTAACTAATTTTAAGAAGACACCTTGAGCTCATCTAACTTCCCTATAGATGACATCCTATATTTACCAATGTATACATAGGTCTAATCCAGGTTTAACTTCAATTTAGTGTACCTTATCAACACATTCTTTTTTAAAATCATTATATGCCCCTGAAAAACAAACAATAGCAATGATTTCCCCAAAACTTGAATTGTTATTAAAATAATGTAAAATGTTAAATATTGCTACACTTGGATTGATACAGAAAGCTTAACAGTAGTAAGGAAAATGTCTAATTACACGGTCATGTTCTTCTCCAGATTTTCGTAGACCAGTGAATAATCAAAACCTAGGATCAACACAAAACACAAAACTGTCATTCAGTTCTTCATTAAAATTTAAGCATATAAACGTGAATCAAACTTCAGTTATTTAACAATTTACAAAAAATACTTTCAAAAGAGTCCTTTTAAATTACGTGCAAGCAATATGACATGCATTAAAATCCTACACTGCTGGCTCTGTGCAAACATACATACTAAATTCAATGACATTTATTGCAAGAAAAAAATCTCACATTTTTAAGAAGCAGTCAACAAGAATATTGGTATACTTGAAGTAAAATATTTTAGAAAATCCCTTCTCTGTGACTCACAAAACTCTATCCTTATATACCCTTTCACATCAAACTGGAATGACCTTAGAGAGATTAGATGGTACAGTAATTTTTTTATGGCTATCAAAGGGCTACTGCTGACGCAGCAGTTGAAGAATATCTGAATAGTATTTAAAAAATACTATCACTTTTCATTGGTAAATGCCAGAAACACTCAGATTTATAAAAATATTACTGAAATTATTAGTACAGGACAAAAAATCACTTAAGTGTAGCCTTTTTTGTTTGTTTGTTTTGTTATAAAATACTTGCTGAGACTCTTGACCACACATTCCTTCTCCAGCTTCTGGAACCTCACTTTCCAGGTTATTCCACCATTTTGATGATGCTCTCTTAGTCTTATTCACTGATTCCTCATGTTTTCCTTCCTCTCTGCACACTCCTTGTATAACTTAAGTGTCCAGAATTCCTGCACACTCCTTGTATGACTTAAGTCATAGCCACAACTTTAGTGATTCCCTAATTCTTATTTAGAGCTACTCAAATCCTTTCCTTCATGGTTAAGGTTGTAGTTTTGATCCCCACCTTTCCTAACCTCTTGGCCAACAAGGACATCTTAACTGGTCTTTATTTAATCAGATCCTGATAACATCACCACATTTTATCTCTGAAACACAAATAAAACCAAATTGCTTTTGTTCATAACATTCAATGACTGTCTACTGTATAAAGTCCAAGGTCCATAACATATCATATTAGTCCCTTTGCAAGCTTGCCACAATATACATATGACAGGATAACAAGCTTGAAACATCAACCAATGATTCTCCAGATGTTTTCTTTATTCTCACACCTTTCACTTTATTCCAATTATTCAGTATTGTGCAGTCACTTTCTTATGAAAGAACTGCCACAGAATAAAAGAAAATAGCATCTAATTTTCGTTCTGGTGTTTATGTTCTTGAAGTCTATGTCACTGGTGACTGAAAAGGATAATGAGTAAAACAAAATATTTTGCTTAAATTTCATAAATCTAAATTTCACCATTTACTCAGAAAAACATTTTCCTTAAGCTGAGAAGAGATGCATTAGAGAACCAAAGACAATGTTCTTCCTCTGAGCCATTATCATTCTGCTCTTTCTACTTGGAATATCTTTTATTACAAAATTTCTCTTGGAAATGATCCCTCCCTACATGAGTGAGTTCAGAGATGGCCTTCTGTCAAAAGGCAGAATGACGCACAGAATTCTATAGTAATTTACACATGATTCCATTTACAAAGTCAACACTGGAATAGATGTATGGTAGTTTACATAGAAATAGAGTGGTTCTCTTCTTCACATATCCATCGATGTGAATCCTAGAGACCTGGAGCATGTCTTCTTTACCTTTGTTTCTATAATGCACAACTGCTTATCTGCTGCAACTTAATGTATACCAAAGACTTCCAAGTGGCCTCACAGAGTGACCACAAAATGCAGAGCTGTCACCAAAATACTCCATCCAAATCACTGTCCTACTGTGGATATACGGTATCAGATATTACAGGATTAAAATATTCCCTTGCTTAAAAAAAAAATCCTTATCTAAACCCAAACAATAATTCACACTTATTTTAGCCCAAGGCTGAGAAACAATGCCAACGAACACTTCAAAGGAATCTACAACTAAATAGTATACACCATGCTGACTAAAGATTCCACACCATTTGAGATTACAATACATTACATAATTTCTGACACAAATACATGAGTATGGTTGTAAATTTAACTATTGAGCACTTAATAGTAGTTTGAATAAATAGTATGTGAAATAGATACACTTGTGGGTTCTCAACTGATAAAATGAAATTACACTGTAAAGGTAGTTTTCAAACCCTCTTCCACACAGCTTTTGTGTTTGCTATGTAATGTCCTAGATCTTAGAGATACAATCTACAACAAGAGAACCAGTTTTTCTAATCTCATCACTGTCTGTGCATTACTTTCTGGCCCCAAAATGCATGTAATAGGGTAACAGTGCTGAAACGGCTAAGATTGTTTTTCCTAGGAACTTCCTCTTTTTCCCCTTTTTGCCTTTTTCTCCATTTGAGAAGTTGCAATAAACAAGTAAAGCAGTAAATCAACAATACAATTTTAGAGTAACAATTTTATCAGGTACATAAAGCAGTGAGTCAACATTGACACAGGGGTGGGGTGGGGGTGGAAGTTCTTTCTGAGGGAGAACCGAGTAAGATGCCACTACTAAGAGAAAGCAGTGAAGGAGATATGAGTATTCTAAGAGCAGAAGGCAGCTAATGCAGGTGAGCTATACAGAGTCAGTAACATGAAGCAACATTGAGAGGGTGGAGGGGGTCAGGTAAGAGTGCCATAAAGGTCAATATAAGAATTTGTATATAAAGTAGTACATGGTAAATGCATTTTGCTAAAATTTACTTAAATCACAGAATTCACTTAAAAACATAAAATTACACTTTATATTTTGTTTGGAATATTTCAAAATACTGATTATTCATATATATAAGAAGTTCTGAATTGCTTTAGTTATATCCTAAGCTGTTAAAAATTATAAAAACTGAGGTAGCACCATAGAGTTCTATAAAGATGAAATGATTTAATGACTATATCTTCATTGCAAGTTACACAGGTTCATTTGTGAAGGACATGAAGCATGAGTTTCCTATTATAACAACATAACTAACATTTGTTGCTCACTTTTTTTTAAATTTTTTTAAGATTTATTTATTTATTCATATAGAACTGGGATACAAGCCAGAGATGCGGAGGGTGAGAGGATTCACCAGAGACAGTGGGGAGCAGAACAGGCAGATCGACGAAGTATACTGCTGAGGGGAGCAGCGGGCGGGTCAGGAGAGGTCTGCCACGCCATGTGGTTTCCTTCGGGGCAGGTGGGAATCGAACTCATGCGGAAGTGGCTTTAGCTTCTTAGTGTTGTGCTTTAACCCGCTGCGCCACCAGGGAGGGCCTGTTGCTCACTTTTTAATGTGGTCTTATTTTGTGAGTCTTAAAAAAAAGAAGCAATTTAATTATCATAATTAATTATGATAATTAAATTAAATAGAACCCTTGAAGTAGGTTCTATTGCTAACTTTTTTTTTTACAAAAGTTATAAAAAAAATAAATGTATGAAGAAATTTTCCAAATCTAAAAACTAAAAAATGGGAAAAGTAGAGTCTCAGATACAGGCAGTGTACAACTCCAGAGCCTATGCTCTATTAAACAATACCTCTTAAGAGGGTGGCAGAAGTAAGTACTCCTTCTATTGGAAGAGTGAGGAATGAAGAGAGAGTTGAGGAGTGAAATATGAACTACAGCCCCAAATGGAAACCATGTGACTAAGCTATCCAAGATGAAGTAAAATTGTTAGCTGACAAGGAATAGAGACACGGGTCATTATCTGGTTTAGGAGATCAAGCCAGAAGATAATAGTTATTACTTCTGCTAAAAGTGATCAATTATTTCCTTATAAGAGTAAGAGTCAACTAATATCTAAGTGATGAAGACCTAATATTTACAAATGTAATGCAGTTTGTAATAAAAAACTAATGGGTGTATTTTATTTTAGCTGAATTTACTGTGGCACATGGGAATTCGGCTCTGTGAACTTCAGGCAGTCATTTGATTGTCTGCTCTTGAGACAGGACTAAGTGAAGGACCATATCATCACTGCAAGTAGGAAATTGTTTTAGCAGTCCAAGATTCCCTTTTTAATATGGATGAGTTCAGTCATTATTCCTGAATGTAATACATGAGGTGTATATTATGAAAAGTCTAACTCCTTTCATACTCTTAGACAAAGTATGTGTCTGGCCTTCATAACAATGTGGATGGGATCAGAATGGACATAGATTTACTAGCTCTGCAGAGCTAGCTGAGAGCACAGAAAAATTTGATTCTCTCATGGAAAGTGGACAACTGACTCAACTGCATATAATGTTGCCAAATACAGAAAAATAAGCGAATTCAAATAGCAATGAGCACTTCCTTTTGGCAAATGGTATAAAAGGAAGCTACCAGCACAACATTTTTGGCAGGTGCTTTTGAATGACATGAAGAAAAATAATCAGTGCGTAAGTATTTTATATAGCTCAAACATACTATAAAAATTTCTGGTCCAACTCATTACCTGCATTTTCAGAACTCTTGTAGTTGTGTCTCACAGTTAAAAAAAAAAAAAAGAATCACAAAGAAGAGACAGGTATTAAAGAATCCATAAACATGCCAAAATGATATTGCTATTTATGTAAATGTTCTAGGGAAATGATTTAGTAATTGAAAAGTCCAAAAGTTGAAGGGTCTTTGTAAAATACAAGTGTTATTTTTGTATCCTCAAGTGAATTTTCTAACATGTTCTTTCAATATTCTAACTACTTGAGTGTAAACAGGGTGGTAAGTCTTTGAGTGGTTTAGTTTCAATCAATCTATGTTGAATCTAAAGGTGACTTGGAAACCTGGAGCTATCTGCTCTCCTCAATAAAAGTTTGTGTGTGTGTGTGTGTGTGTGTGTGTATGTGACAGAGAGATAGAGAAAGAGTGAGAGACACACAAAGATTATTTCAATAGTCCATTCATTTTGCTACTCTTCTGGAGAACTACTTTAGACCTCCTTTCTTCAAATGTCTTGCTTTCCCCTTCACTGAGAAAACTGAATCAATCAGAAGAAAATTTCAGATTCTCACTTCTTCATCCACCCATCTTTTGGAACTGGCACTCAAATAAGTCTCTTTCCCACCTGTTACTCTGAATGTACTATCTGTGCTTCTACCTAATGAAAGAACTTCCTCCTGAGCATTTACCTATCATCCTTTCTCAAGGACATCACTCAAACAAATCTCTTTCCTTTATCCATCACTTTCTCCTAACTTTTGGGTAGTTCTTCCTATTCTAAAATGTACACATCACACACACACACACACACACACACACACACACACACACATATACATTCTTTTGGTCTAATTTCTTCATTTTAGCCTCTCTTTCCAAAGAACTCAACTTATAACAATGTCAAAATTTAAATCTCTGGTGTTTACTGACCAAATCTAGTCTTCCTCCACCTTTCTCACCTCAGTTGATGGTAACTACATTCTTCCACATTCTCAGGCTAAAAACTGTAAAATCATCCTGACCTTTCTCTCTTGCCTTGTTATCTATTAGAAAATCTCATAACTGATACCTATTTAAATTCAAGGCCTAAAAATTATTCAGGGTCCAGATTAAGCTCCTGTAAATCTGCAACTTTCTGGGATATACTGGACTTCACAGAGCTCTTGCTTTTTTATCTCTGTTAGCACTTCCATCTTACATTTTTAATACTTGTTTATATTATCTTGTCAACTTCATTACAATTATTAACTATAATTCAGTCCCATCCACCTCCCATATCACTAAATATGCAGCCCTTAATCCATATTTGGTAAGGGTTTCACAAGCATCACAGTAAATGATTGCTATTTCTTGATGTTTCAATACTTACTTGAATTAGATGCATTTGTAAAATTTACCATTTGGTCTGGTAAAGCTGCAAAGCTATCTGTCATTTCTCCAAAAACCAGCATCATGAGAGGAAGTGCAGCTCCATGGATAACAGCAGCAACTGTCCCCAGCACCATATATAACTTATCAAGCCAATTTGAATAGCGAAACTAGAGGAAAAGCAGAGAACAGTAACAATTATCATAGTTTCATGGGGGTTTGCACTACTTTCCAAATATATCCAAAATTCAAATATTTCTCAGACCACTATTGCTACCAGCCTAGTCCAAGCTAAGCTGTTGTGATGGCCTAATTGGAAATGGGCATTTGAATTTTCTATTGGGATCTGACCTATTTCATGTAGAATTCAATCTGTTTCTTATACGAGGCCTGATAAGAAGAATGGAATAATCTAGGAAATTATGAGTCTTTAATGAGGCAATAGAAATACAGATTATTTTGCTCTGATTTCCAAGAACAGAGGCCACTTTTTATCAAAAGGTTTTTCAAACAAGAAAAATCTTGATTTCCAGAGGTGTTTGAAGAAACAGGTTTTGTTGCTTTAAGAAAGGGGCTTGGGTCAGTGACTCCTGCAACACAGCATTTACATAAGTGTAAAATGATTTAATGTAATTAGGTCTCAATCACAAAAGGGGAGAGGAATGAATTAAGTGCATGTTTACCCCCAAACCTATTACTGCTGAGGATGCAGAATATGGTCATGACTGATCAGTGAAGTTACATTTATTTCTTTAATCATAGGCAAGTCATAGGAAGGAATGACAGACTTTTCTGTTCTAAAATATGGTGAGAAGTGAACACCACAAAAGGAATCAACTTAGAGCTCTGTGATAGGTTCACACACCAAAGTAGGCAAGGATTTGAGGAGGAAGAGGGGAAAGAAGATAGAGAAACCTCATTTAGTCCTTCTTGACTGTCCATCCTAGAAATATCCAGGAAGCAGATGGAGAGAATTGAGTTTGTGATACAACCTTATATAGCAGAAGTCAAAGGAGCATTAGATCATAGAGGAAGTTAGAGAGTGAGTGGGCTTAATAATAATTTGGAGATGAAATAATAGAGATAACATGCTATTTTTCCTTTTGATAACCTTGGGGCAAAAACAGGAAGAAAATATAGTTACTTAAGGGAGGTGCAATCTCAGGAGTACTAGTTATTCAACACTTAGCTATTAATACTTATAGGTAAGTTGGTCAAAGAAACAATTGGTGAAAATAAAAAAAATAAAACTGAGATGAGAAGATGAAATAGAGAATAAAGAAAATTATTATTTCTAAAACCTCAGGCAAGGTAACATCAGTGGATGCTATAAATATTCGGTAAAACAAAATAACCCATGGTACCTCCAAGATCCCTCTAAATGGAGCTATCTGATTTTTCATCATCTTAACTAAGTGATCAACAAGTGATCTATCATAAAAAGTAAAATACCCTGACCTTTGATGTTTCCAAATGTCTATGAGACATGAAGTACACAGCATTCATATATAATTATCTTACCAAAACATTTGACATGAATGGAATAAAACCTTTAGACCTATCTTTCAACATAGGGAAAATGCAAGATATGGAAAGATATGTTAAATGATACCATAAGAAAGCAATAAAAACAGTTCAGAATGCTACAGGACAAGTAGTAAAACCTTTTGAACATGTCAGTATCATTAAAAAAAAATTCTAGATTCAGCAGATATTATATCCAAGTGTCATAATGAATGGAACCTGTTTTGAAGAAGTCAACTATAAAAGATGTTTTTGAAAATAAGTAAAAAACATTTAAATATAAACAGGATTACATAATATCAAAGAAGTACTGCTTACTTGTTAAAACAATTTATTATGTATTCTAGAAAAATTTTGTTTCATAGGAAAATTTATGAGAGTTGTAAACTAAAAGATATACAAAACAGGAAATTTATCAGTTAGGTAAACTGTGCATTGAAATGTTAGTTATTAAATGTGGGTAACATGTATATGAGTGTAGATCTTAATATTCTGCCTTTCTATATGTTTGGTAGTTTTCATAACAAACTTTGCAAAAACAGGATGATTCTCAAACAGGCAAATGTCTCTTCATATCAGGCTAGAAAGAACAAGACTGACTACAGTAAAAGCAAGTTTCCAAAAATAAGAACAAAATGTTTGAAGAGCTTAGAATCTAAGATTTCTTTGTAAAATGATGCCAAATTGGCCCTCCCTGGTGGCGCAGCGGGTTAAAGCACTGCACTGAGAATCTAAAAGCCGCTTCCGCATGAGTTCGATTCCCGCCTGCCCCGGAGGTGACCACATGGCATGGCAGACCTCTCCTGGCCCGCCCGCTGCTCCCCTCAGCAGTGTACTTCATTGATCTGCCTGTTCTGCTCCCCACTCTGTCTCTGGTGAAGCCTCTCACCCTCCACATCTCTGACACCCCAGTTCTGTATGTATAAATAAATAAATCTTTAAAAAAAAAAATGATGCCAAATTGATTTTTAGAGGTAAGTGGTGAGAAGATTTGAGATAAGTGGTAAGCATAGTGCTGGGCAGACAAAGGCCCCAGTAAAATATGAGACCTCAATCACTTATTAGTAAGGCAAATTTTGGAAGAAAATCTTTAATAACTTGCATCTCAGCTTCTTTATTTATAAAAGGGAAATACACAAAGACACAGCAAGCCTCACATAACTACAATGTGATAAAAATGAGACTTACTTTATTAAACAGGCAAGATAGTAAGTAAAGTTTTTTAGTTTTAGAAATGCAAAAGTTAAAAAGATGTTTCATGAACTTACACTGAAGGAAATGAAGGTTAAAAAAAAATGTTGTAACACATCAAATTAAATGTAAGACAAAGGTATAAACTAAAACTGGATTCCCAGGCCCTCACTGGAGGCTCATGGGTAAAGCACAGCACTGCAAAGCTAGCTGCAGCCACTGCTGCACAAATTTGATCCCCAGTCAGGGAACTGACTCATGGCACAGCAGACTCCCATCTTGCCTGCTGCTTCCTCAGCAGTGTACTTGTCAATCTGCCTGTTCTGCTTCCCACCCTGACTGTGGTGACTCACCACCCCTGCACCTCTGGCCTGTCCCCCAGTTCTGTATGAATAAATAAATAAATCTTTAAAAAAAAAACCACTGGATTCTCTTAAAAAAAAAAAAAGGAAAATGGTTAGATGCTAGTAGGGAGAAGAGAGGGGGATGAACCACAACCACACAGAAAGACAACCAATAAGCACTGAAAGCCTCCGGTTGGGTTTCCTAAGGCAAAGGGAATGGTGTTGACAGGAAAGTAGTTTAGGCTAAAGAGAGGTCACTTCTCTATACATCACAGTGCCTCAGTTGCAGAGTGCAGTTAGTCAATGCACACATTCATTTATTCATTCATTCATTCAACATTCTAAAGATAATTATTTTTTTTAATAATAGAAACAGACACATTTCTAGTTATAAGTGAGATAAGTGAGTGACAATGGAAAATAAGATGAACTACCTGTTCTCATAAAACTTACATTCCAGTGCATATAGTAAAACAGGGAATTGCTATATTCAATATACATTGAAAAATCTAAACATACATTATATTTCTGGGTACTGTTCTAGGGAAAAGGAAATATAACAATAAAGAAAACATTTTAAAAAATCCTATTCTCTCAGGGCTTACATTCAGAAAGAAGACATATATATAAAGAAATCACATGATGGTAGAGCTCAATAGCCAAATATATAAAGAAATCACAGGGTGGTAGAGCTCCTGGGTGACTATTAACTTGGTGTGTCTCAAGGACCAAATCTAATTTCCACTGTGGCAAGAGCAGCGTAAAGGATATTAACCTGTGGTATATAAAAAGATAATTTGTGTGTCTGCAGTGAAGTCAGAAATGAGACAGACATCCGTTTTTAACCATAGGAAGGAGTTTGGGTTCTACTTTAAGCTGCGCATTTAAGTGTAAAGGGAAGTCATTAAAGGATATTAAGGAAGTGAAGTGATCTGCTATTGTTTCAATGGGTAGAATAATTTCTAGAAAAGCAAAAACTGGAGAAGGGGGACAAGGAATAAAGAACAGTTGAGAGAGCAAATTCTTGACCAGGTATGGCAGGAAGAATAAACCCGCTCCCAACATGTCCACATCCTCATTCCAGAAATCTATCAACATTATTTCCTTAATGGTATAAGTGACTTTAAGAGATGTTAAGCAAATTGAGAAGGGGATATTATCCTGTATTAATGAAGTAGGCCCAATTCAATTACCAGGATCTCTGAAAGAAGGAACTAGGAGAGTCAGAGTCAGTAGTGGGTAAAATAACCACTGAAGTAAGAGGTCAGGTCAGACACAAGGAGGGAGACATGATTCTAGGAAGGGAGGCAACCTCTAGATACTAAAAAGGGAAACAGATTTTCTCTTTGAACCTCCAGAAGAAATTCAGTACTGCTGACACTTTCATTTTAGCCCAGTAAGATTTTTGGTCTCAGAATTATAATGTCATATTTGTATAAAGTTCCAAGTGACTAAGTCTGTGGTATTTTGTTGCAGCAACAATAGGAAATCAGCATATAGTGTGTGTGTTGGTCAGGGGTTGGGGTGGAAGGAGAGGGTCACAATAAGGCAGACTGGCCAAGCAAGAGGGCTGAAGAATGATACATTTGGGCTGATCATATATGGGAGTCCACTAGATGATGAGGCCAAAGTACAAATATAATATACCAAAGTAGAGTAAGGGTGAAGGTTCTTGGAAAATAAGTTAAAGAATGTTGAGCTTAGGATTCATTAATATGGTTAACAAAAAGACTAATCAAAGCATAAACAAATGAAGTAGGAACTATCAGATATCAGAATCCTCAATAAAGGAGCAAAAGTAACTGAAAATTGGTAGAGGACATGACTAAAAACAAATAAAAATATTATAATTGTTCAAGATTAAACTCAAATGAGGAAGGGATTTTGCATGGAAAAAAATGGAATGTGTGTGTGTGAAATTAGCTAGAAACCAGCACTATCACACACTTCTGGGAAAACAGGTTGAAGAACTCTAACTTCACAGGCAAAGAAGAAGCAAAGAAAATTTAAAAAAATAAACAAGCAGAGAATTAGGAAGAAATTTATCAAACTATTTCATCACAGATGCAAAGAGAAGAAAAAATATGATGGGCAGGTTAAGTGCCATATAAAGATAGAGAATCAAAACATTTCCCCTGAATTACATGAGTAGCAAAAACAGAAACCAAATAATATGCCAACGTGAAACTGAAACAAAGGACACCCCTTGGAGTGAAGCAAGCTAGAAGAGGATAACTTTAAAGGAGGCATTAATGAAATTAATGATGCCTGACATGTAAATACCAATAGAAAAGACCCAGTTGAGAGGGTGAGGAGAAAGAAGGATAATAACAAATAAGGCCCTTGAGAAGAAACGGGATATGGTGATTAGTTTTAAAAACCAGATGTTTTCTCTGTTGTAAAAGGAGAGAAAGAGGAGGGAACTCATCCAGGTACAGGCAGGTTTATAGATGGGGAGAAAGGAGCTGAAAAACTTTTGTCAAGTGGTTTCCATGTTGTGACTTAAAAGGAGAGGTCTTACACCAAAAGTGAAAGAAGAGGGATAGGGAGGAGAAGTAGTGGGAGATTTAAAGTGTAGAAGAGTAAGATCTCTATGAGGAATAACACTATTGTTAGGTTTTACTCCAGCACCAATGAGAGGGTTATTTAGGGAAGAAGAAAGCAGATAGAAATTTTGCCTGGGCTGTGTGGGATAAATGACAGGTGAAATGAAGTTTATTGTTTGGGTGAGAGAATAATGAAAATGATCGCTATTTCTTTAAGCTGGATAAAAAAAGAATGAATATAAGAAGGGGGTTGATGGAAAATAGATGGGTCTGTAGATTTAAGATTCAGAGAGAACAGTGAGTAGATTGAAGAGAGAATTCAGTTCTCCAATACAGGCTATTTCAAGCTGACTCCTTGAGTTAGTCACTTTGGTGACAGAACAGTTTCAAAAAGCAACATCCAGGATGTGAGTATATGAGTGTATGACTGGGGTGAAAGAGAGGTTGAGATTATTGTATGTGTGAAGATCAAAGAGTCATGTCCATATAACATCATAAAAGTAGAAAGGGAGAAATACTGATCTAGGCAATAAAGTCTTCAATGCCTAGGAATGACCAGGTGGTCAGAAGATAATAGCATCAACAAATGACTCATCAATAACTGCAAATAGAAGTTTAACCAAGCATAAAATAAATGATAAAGCTCTGGCTTTCTCTAAGCAGATCTTGGGAAAATTCTAGGTGTGTCTTCCTACTAGTTATCTGGCCCTGAGACTAAATGCAGTGCTTGTCTGAGTCTGTTTGTTCATCTGGTGCATAGGATAATACAAGTTTCCACATCACAGAGTAGCTGTGAGGATTAAGGTAAATAATACATATGCTTGATATATAAGAAGCACTTTATATTACTATTATCTGTTATAAAACAAACAAAGATTCATTAAGTTAAAAAAAAAAAAGCTCAAAGCACAAGCCTTCCAAAATGGCATCATTTTTAAGGAGTGCTTTGTAAAGGAACTGCAGGCCAACTCTAGTTTTCCTGCTCTTATTTCTATTTGTTCCATTTTCTCACTTGCTTCAGGTTTTTTTTTCTACTTCTTTTTTTTTCTGATTATGTCGAAACAACTTTTGATACAAATAATATAAAGACTAGTAGAAATATTCGAATCTACTTTCATCACTTTGTCACAAACACTAGAAAATCTCATATTAGAAATTAGTTAACAGGGGAGGCATGCAGAAAACAGCTAACACTGAAAGTCTGAAACTGCTATGTTTAGAAAGGTCTGCCTTCAAGGTTAGCCACTGGCTGGAATCTACACTTGGGTTTTGAGAGGGTTACCAACACCCTAACATATAGAAGCGGCAAACTATGTAATGCTGACCACCTGCTTTCCTGTGTGAGTCTGGATTTTGGTATAGTCTGTGCCTAATGACCAGCGCAAAGTAAAAGCCTTTAGAATTTCCAGGGGGCATCTCTACAGGACAGCATTTCATTCATGTCATCACAACTTGTTGCTGAGGGAATTAAGTGTGACTCTATGGACAGAACAGTCTGGGAGCTCATCTGTATCTGGTTCCTCCTGGATTTCTTATGTGCCTTCTTCCATTTTGGTTTGTATCCTTTTGCATAAGAAGTCTGTCATGAATGTGATAACGAGTTCTATAATCCTCCTAGTACACTGTCACATCTGGGGTTTTTGGAAACCTCCCTTACATGATTTTTTTTTTGTCTTAGCTGGACATTGTTATATATAGGACATTCCACTGCTGTTTGCAGAGAATTGGAGAATTGCTTGGTATGTAAAAACCCACACATGTCAGAAATGTCATGAGGAAAAAAACAGACAAACTTAAGTGTTCTGGTATTGTAAATCAGTATTTTATACTTGGCTTTTGACAATTTTTGCCAGATTGACTTTTTCTAAAAGTCAGAAATCCAAATTTTATGTAAAATTTCTGAATTTTAAAAGTGTCTTAAAGGTTTTTAAACATGGGTCAAGACAAATTAAAAAAGTAAAAATAAAATTTTAAGCTACTGGCCCTCCCTGGTGGCACAGCGGGTTAAAGCACTGCACTAAGAAGCTTAAGCCCCTTCCACATGGTTCGATTCCTGCCTGCCCTGGAGGAGATCCACATGGCATGGCAGACCTCTCCTGACCTGCCCACTGCTCCACTCAGCAGTGTACTTCCTCGATCTGCCTGTTCGGCTCTCCACTCTTCTGCTCTCCACTCTGTCTCTGGTAAATCCTATCACCCTCCACATCTCTGGGCTGTACCCCAGTTCTAGATGAATAAATAAATCTAAAAAAAAAAAATTTAAGCTACAAAGATAACAAAAGGTGAAGAGTTTTGGTCTCAAAAGACTGAATTAATATTAAAGCTTGGTAATAAATGCTACTTTAAGATAAAAGCTTTCAATACACGAATATAAGAATGAAATATTAAACAAACGATAGCTGTCACTTGGTCACTGAAGTAATCTTAAGAATGATTTAACAGTACAGTCTCATCTCCCCAAAATTTCAAAGACGATGGTAATAAAACAAAAAGTCTCATGTACTACAGCCAAAGCAACTATCCTGCAGGGAGCTAAAGATCACATAAGATAACAACAGAGCAAAGATCACTAAGATAACAACAGAGCCCTCTGTATAAAAGTCAGACAAGTGTTCCCTCTACTAACTGTTAAGGGGAAGGATGTCCTAAAGGAACTCTGCAGTCTTATGGACTCCATCCCCTACTCCAGTGATTGAAAACTACAACTCCCAGCAGTACCAGGAAGAGAACTATGAGAACCCAAGGGCGGAGCTAAGCAGGAATTCTGGACATTGGGAGATAAATAGGGCACCATTTCATCTCTTGTGCTCTCGCTGGAGAAACGGCTCGCCGGACAGCGTGACTCAGGGTTTTAGTTTGTTTCCAGAGCTCCAAGTCGGCAGAGCCAGTTAGTCCAGTTGTTTCTTTTTCTTTTCCCCTTTTTGTAAATAAATCCATTTTGACCCTTTTGTGTGTGCCTGCAGTATAACTGAATTTTAAACGTGTGGGTGAGGCCCCGCAGACAGGTGGTCCAGTCCTGTTTGCTGGGTGACCTGTAACATTACCTCTCCCAATAGTATTTTTACATATAACTTACTATATTCATTTTACATGGATCTATACCCCCATGTTTAATAAATGTCTGGTGTGTTATTATAAACTATACAGTACAAGATTTAACTGGTGCAGTAGAATTTCAATTTCCATAGCCAGAGTTCAACTTAGTGTGAACACGTAGAGAAAAAGTAGAATCCAGACAGAGACCATCAACCAGTCATACCTATAAAATATCTAATTCCAAGAGTGATTAAAGAAAAGCTTCGAAGTTTTTCTTGCAACCAGAAAATGAGTTAAAGAATAATATTAAAAGAATTATATTAAGGTTTTCTAACTCTAGATGTTGACTAGTCAGCACAGAGGAATACCAACATATAGTAAGTCACAGTAATAAATAATTTTTTTTTTAAAGATTTATTTATTTGTGCATACAGAACTGGGGTACAGGCCAGAGGCTCAGGGGCGGTGAGAGGCTTCACCAGAGATAGAGTGGGGAACAGAACAGGCAGATTGACGAAGTACACTGCTGAGGGGAGCAGCGGGCGGATCAGGAGAGGTCTGCCACACCATGTGGTCACCTCCGGGGCAGGCAGTAATCGAACTCATGCAGAAGCGGCTTTATATTCTCAGTGCTGTGCTTTAACCCGCTGTGCCACCAGGGAGGGCCACAGTAATAAATAATTTACTACTAATTTTTATTATATGAATGCCTGAGATTTTGACCTCAAACCTACCAGGAGTCCAGAGCCACTGGCAATATAAAATACTGTACCCTTTTAAGTCACCTTCCAAGAGTTTACTTCGATTAGGAGGACTGAGGCCATCACTGGCAGAAGCACTTGTACAGATACCAGCTCATTGGCAACATAACTAGTTAGGAGAAAACAGATCTAAGTCAAAAGATTCAATTTATATGGGAAGTGTAATGAGCATTCCCCTGAAAACAAACAAAATCAAACCAATTAATTTTACCTTGCCATAATACTACTGTGCAAGAAAATATGAGACCAGATGAAAAAATCTCTTTTCTAGATAACTCAAATTTCCAAAGCATTTGGAATACTGAAAAAATATGAACTCACCATTGCAAATGTACTGACAGTTGGTTTCTTTTCTCCCTTATCTTTTTTACTGAAAAACAGCAATTGGATTACACAAAAGTTTAAAAATTACATACATTTTTAAATAAACAAATCAACATAGAGCTTATATTTAAGAACATGACAAATAAGTCTGTAACACATCATTCAATTAAAAATCAGGTTATTAGTATAATCCCATTTATGAAGTTTAAATATATTTACATGTAGCTTAGAAAACCTACATCTATGGTCACATGGGTATTGAGATTTCTATCAAAATCTTTTCTTTATTGGACCTTCGATATTTCCTAATTTTCTATTATGAATGCATACATACTTAACTTTTGCAATTAGAACAAAAGCACTCCCCAAATCCTTTGTCTTTATTTAAACTAGAAAATTACTTATGCTCTTCAAAATTGATCTCTTTATTATCTGAGTAATGCTAGCAATAGATATTCTATCTATCTACTATCTACTAATTACCCATAGTCATTCCCTTTACTAATGGAGAATAATGGCCATCAGATACGTTAAAATTAGCCAAAAAGGAAAATTAATTAAATTGTCTCTAAGCAAATCTAATTCAGAAAGGATGTCTGGAGCCCTGAATGGACCATTAAGGAAATGAATATAACCTAGAAAAGTCCTGGCCAAAAAAGATGGTATGTAAACTGTCGAAAAGCTGTCCTCAGGCATAAGGCCAATTATTATTTTGAGCCCAGATTCAAATGAATTCATCTCTATAACTTGCTTTTTTCATTTTATATAACTACAACTGAGACCTTGAAAGCAACTAACCATAACTAAATTCTGCACCTATGTTTTCATATGAACAATGAAAATGTATTTCAGATAAAAGCTGCATTATTTTTACAGATTTTCAAGTTAAAAAAGTTCATTTTTTCTTTGTACTTTTTTTTTTTTTTAACTAAGGAAGGTCAAAGAGTTGAAGAAACTTCTTAAAAGAACCCTGACTTTGTTAGATGGAACTAAAAACACACAACATCAATTCTTGGCCTTTTGGCTAAGAGCAAGTGTGGAACTAAAAACACACAAAATACACAAACACAACTCTTCATATATGGTCCCACCCTATTCCCAGTAAAGACATGGTTTAATATTTCTGGGACCAAAATGAGAACAGAAAAGCAGTCATACACAATTGAGTTTTAGCTCTAAGTTATTTACTTTTTCATTCTCTAAAACTGCTGTTACTCTAGAGAATATATATGGTTCTAGGGGCTGACTAAGCAAACAATTCCCATACATGACCTGATTTAGTATCAATCTCTGTAAAATCAGGCATATTTTTGCCTCCTTTTATAGATAAGAAAACTGTGAGCAGAGTTCACTACCTTGTCCAAGGACACACAACAAGAACAAGGACAAGTTTTAGACTAAAAAGTCCACCCCTTAAGCAAAATAATCAGATTTCTAAGGTACTGAACTGCCAGGAAATGATTCAACCCTACTATATGATCCACCACCAATCTCTATCAGCTTCCAACACAGTGCTAAAAAAGCATGACATGCATTAGAAATCTTTACAAATACAGTGAAGAATTTTTATAAATACAGATATTCCAAATGGATCTTTTATCCAAGAATTATACCTACTAGTAGTCATATACTTCTTTCCCATTATACATATAACTTCATATGGAAAAATTAAAATCAATTTTTAATAAAAAATACTAAGCTATTTTTATTTTAAGTCTGTAGGATGATAAGAACCAAAAATAAAATGAAGAAAAGTGAAAGCTTAAATAAATTTCTTCACCTCCACATACCCTTACTCTTACTCCAGCATCTTAGTGTTTGTATCATAGGTACATTGTTCTTAGGTTTTTTAATTTTTTAAAAACTAAAAGAATATTTAAAATGCACTCTACAAAGTCTTTTTTTCTTTTTGTTTATATGTAGTTTTATTATAAAAGTTTCAAATAAACAGAAAAATTCAAGGAATAGTAATAATGATTATCCATCTAAAATTCACTTAGAATCAGCAATTGTTAACAATTTTATCGTATTTTCTTTACCTATACCAGGAAGCAGATACTATCATTGTTAATAATTTGCTGACTCACTTGAAAGTTGCAATCATGTCATTCTTTGTTTCCCTACTATTATGACAGCCAACAAAATAACAATTTTGATATTTAATCCACATTCATTTTTATAAGATTGTTTTTAATAGGTTTCTCCTTTTTTGAATTTTGATATAATTAGGGTTCATACATTACATTGTGGTTTTGTCCCTTTAGTCTCTTTTTTTTTAACCTAGAAATATTCTATTTCCCACCATTACCCTGCTCCCTTCCCTCTAGTTAAGTCTTTGAAGGAACAGATATTTTACAAAATGTCCCACATATTGGGTAAGTCTGTTTCAAAATGAGTCCAAGTTGAGATGAGCAGTAAGCATAAAATACACAACAGATTTGAAGACTTAGTTTGAAAAAGAGAATGTAAATGATTTAATTATAATTCCAATTACATGAAAAATAATATTTTGGATATACAGGGATCCAGAAAATACATTTTCAAAATTAATTTCACATCTTTGACCTTTTTGGTTGCTACTAGAAAATCAAAGCTCATGATTATGGCCCACATTACATTTCTCCTGGACAAGATCAGTCTAGCAGATTGGCTGAAATCAGTCAACCTTTTGCAAAATGTTTTTGTGAATATACTTTTTTTTATGATCTAATAACTTTATTTTTTAAAAAAGACCATTTTTCCATTTTCTTTCTAAGAAATTAAACCTTTTTAATTCTCACCTACATTCTACATAATGGTTATTGGATACTCCACAATATATTAAGTCTAGACGTTATGGTACATGCATACACTTTCAGGCTGTTTATACCCACTGTCACCAATACAGATAAATGGGGGGAGGGAGAAAAGATCTATGAAACTGTATGGGGCTGTATATATATTTGTCTTAGCTTAATGCAGGAAATTGTTTTAATTTCTAGCAGTTTGTTTAAACTGTTACCAAAAAAAAAAAAAAAACCCCACTATGAATACAGGACTGTTTTGAAGAGACTTTCTAAAGTGTACATCACCAAGAGTGATGCCACCACTTGACGAGAGTGTTAACTACAAAATCAGTCTACTGGAAAGCACACTTTTCTTTTTCTGACTAGTAAGAATTGTGAGTAATTCTTAGATGTACCTTTTCTTTGAATAGGATTCATCAGTAATCTTTGCTGGAACCAATTATAACAAAGAATCCAATTAATAACAAATGATAGCTGACATTTTTCTGCAGAAGATCATTCCTTTGTTCTCTCTACCTCTCCCACCCTTTTAGTTTTTCTCCTTTCAGAACTTTGTTAAGGATTTATGGATTTTATTCACTTCAGTCTTTCATATCTAGTGCTGTCATTGTTCTTTTTGATGTTTAAATTGTCCCTGACTTGGTCAGGTAGCCCCTTAAGCAAATTCCTGTATCCTCTTTATCCTCTTTACTTATTTCCCTCCTATCCCTGCCCCTCACCCCACAGCACGACACAGTACTCCAGATGCATTTTGTATTCTGGTGACAGGGGAGATTTGAATTAGTCATTTCTCTATAGGATGTGGATTCCTTTTGAGTGAGGAATGGCAGTTAGAAATAAAGATCTGCTATGACGTGAGTTTAGTGCTTTTGTCCCCTTCAGTGGACAGAAATTATTAAAATCATGTCTTCATATTGAAGTTTCCATTTCAAATTTAACTTTATTTCTTAAAAACTTATTTGATATTCACATTTACATTTCTTTTCTCTTGCACGGAGAAGCATGATTTCTGATTCTATTAATACATGTACTAATTTGTTTTGTTACAATTAATATTGCAATTTACTACTAACAATGAACCTATTGGCGAAAGTTAACATTTTTTTCTGTGTAGATATGATATTATAATCAAAATTTACTTAAATATATATAGACACTTTGCCTATGTTAGATATAATCAGTAAATTTCCCACCGTCCCAGGCATTTTCAGACCTGTTGTCTTCTTTTCAGAATTTCCACTGTATTGGCCAGATTCTCATCAATTAAAAAATAATAATACCTAAACGTGGTTTGGGCCATCAGTTCCATCTTCCATGACACAAACACATAATGTTTATGTGGTTATTTGACAGGAAGCAAGACCTACCACAGAGCTGAGATCAAGTAGCTCTGGGTTCAGGCTCGTAGACGCTCAAACTTTCTTTAAGACACAAGATTATAAAACACAGAAAAGGACATGAGGACTGGTCTGAGGCGAATAATGTTGAGGAAGAGCTAACTAAGGTGGAGAGAAGATAAATGCTGTGCTCAACCCAGCTAGCGCATTTCTGCAATGCAACCTCTTGCGTTTAAGAACAAAATCATCAACAACTTCTACACTTACTTCAGAGCTGGAGAGAGCCTAAATCTTTCAAGCCTGTAAAATATGAAAGTGAAACAAACTGGCTACCTTTTTTTGCCCATTTGCAGGAATTTCTTCTCTGCTTTTTCATTGCGGCCTCCTTCAAGATCCATGGTGACCTGAGGAGAAACCACAGCTGATCAACCAATTGCTTGACCCGCAGGAGGCAGCGGTGAGACCGTTTTCCCGCTCCGGGCGGGCGGGGGGTGGAGGACCGTGCTGCTTGCAGACGCCCTAGCGGTTTCGGCTGTAGTGGCCCAGGGTCTGCCTGCGCGCGGGGCTCGGGTCTGGCCTCGCGTGCCGAGCAGCTGGGAACCGCGCCTTCAGGACTTTGCCCCGGTCGCTGCGGCTCCGGCTCAAAGTTCCTCTGGCCACAGAAGATGCTTCCTCCGTCCACCCGCCCTCGGGCTCAGAAACCGGTTTTCTGTTCTCGACCCGCTCCATCTGCTCAAGGCAGCAAAATCCAGTACTAGCGCGGAAAATTCTAGAGGAAGAGGGTACTTTAGGAACTCCCCAAGCGACTCAGTTCTCACCCCACTTGGTCCCCAGGGACTTGCCAAGGCGACTCACCCCTTTACTCCCTGCCTATCCCTTCTCCCATCGGGACCAAATTCGGAAAACTAGAGTCGGACCCTTCCTGCGAACTGTCCCCAAATAGTCCCCAGCCTGGCGCGCCCCTACCTCTGGCTTTCCCTCGAATGTTCACCGAGAGGTGGATTTTGGGAGAAGAGATTCAAAGTTTCAAAGGAAAGACCAGCAGGCTGTCCCCAGCGGCCTCGGCTTCTTTGAGCCTGAGGAGACGCTGTTCGAATGAGCCCTCGCTGCCTGCGGCGCCGAACCCAGTAAGGTGCGAGTGCGGCGCCCACACCCGGAACCCGCCTACCCCGCCAATCAGCTGACCACTAGGCTTTGCTACGGCCTGGCTCTATTAAGAGCTGATTGCACGACTAGTTACGAAACAGGCTGAGTTTTCAGGAGGAATGTCCTGGCTTCTGTTGCGGCTCAGCAAAAAGGCAAGTTGAGAAATGAGTATGAGCTGAGTCATCATAGACTAATGTATATAAACAGTTAAGTCTCTGCATGTTCTACTTAAGTCTCCATATCTGTAAAATAGGTGTGTGTATAGATATATAGGTATACAATTGGCACCGTACCTCAGAAGAAGATAATGGAAACTTTCTCTGACATCACATTTAATACGGTTAATAAAACAACTTCCTGCTCTCCTTTTTCAGACTCCCTGTGGATGCCTGAAACCGGAGATAATAGCATGTCCTGTGTATACTGTTTCCCCCCCCCCGCCCCCATACATACTTACCTTTAAAAAAGCTTAACTTCTGATTAGCCATAATAAGAAATTCACAATAGTAAAAATATAATAATTATATAATAATATAAATGTAATGAAAGTTATGTAAATATGGTCCTTCTCTTTCACTTTCTTCCTTCCTCCCTCTCTCCCTCTCAAAATATCTAGTGCATACTATTTTGGACCGCGGTTGACTCCTGCTAGCTGAAACCACTGCTAGAACGCAAATACAAGGGCAGGACTACTGTAGTTGAATTAAACTTCCCTTCTGAGCAGCATGTGATGTTTTTCTGCAGTCTTCGGCATGGCATTTTATGAATATTTCAGAGTAGAAACAACATTAAAAGTTAATATTAATTAGTTGATATTTAAAGGTAAAAGTAGTATTTTTCAGTTTTAGCTATCAGCTAAATGTCCATTTTTTCCCATGCATTAAAAAATATTACATTTTAATTGAAATTATTACAGTAAGCTTAGAGTATTTACCTGATAACTTTAGTTGCAATTTCATTCCACATTTACTGCGATTACTTACTATTTTTCTTCATTTTATTCCAGTTGGTGAAAAACAGGTAGGCTCACAATTCATAGTCATAAAGCAATGTTAACTCACATCACAACTTTTCACACATTTTATAAACTTGGGGATTGGTCTTTTTGTGATCTTTAGTCTGCAATGGGGAAACAACTTATCAGTGTTGTTTCTCAGCTCACTGCTCAAGGTTAACAAAAGAAACCCCTTTTATTCTTTTTTGGCACAGCGTATATTCCTTTCTTTCTTTAAATTACTCATACTTCAGGGCCATAATTTTTTGCCATCTTTTATTCCGAATTTACCTTGCCTTGATTTTTATTAGTTATACAATCAGGGTTTTCTTACTACTGCTAATTAGACTTTATAATAGGCCACTAATTTTCACATTATGCTAAATGGATATGTGTGGGTATGGTATGGATTTGCTGCTTCAAGTCTTACCAACTGTAGTCCACTTGGGGCAAGCATACAAATTTTAATTGTTGTGTCACTCATTTTTCATCTGATTCATACCTGTGCTGCTTGCACTTCTGTTTTACTTTGTCCCACCTTTAGTTATACGATCTTGTTATATTTTTTGTACCGTTGTAAACTGACATAAATGTTCCGTAAAAACACAGATTATTTTGATACTTGGAAGCATTATACATCATTTAGATGTGACATGTAATAAAAATATGTTTTGGTAACTTAGGAGACAGAATTTTTTGATATATCACTGGGAAAATTTTAAGATCATGAGTCTAATAAATACAAAAAAAATCCAAAAATGGATATGAACTTTAAGATTGTATGATAACAAATGAAAATCTGATGAGTTTTAACATGTTGTTACTAGGTAGCATATCTTAATTACCTCTCAAGATATTTGTAAATAATTGAAGGGAAATCTACCAATGTACTTTAGCATACCACAACGGCCACCAAGGCCCCCACAGCCCTTTACCCTAGACTCTTGTCTTTGCACTCACCCCTACTCTCCCTTCCTCTTTGGTAGCCTCAATTCTGCTGTCACATTTCAGAGTTTACTTTTAGAAAAATATATTCTTTTATTTTCTATTTTTAAAATAATGTAATAGTTTATTTTTTACATCTTTTTGTGCCTTTTTCCATCTCATTTGTAATCCCTGTGAGCTTCCCATCACCAAGTCACCCATGTGCCATCACCATAGTCCAGTGCATTTCCCTCCCCCCGCTGTTTTTGATCTCATTCCCCACTCTACCCCCATCAAATGTCTCTGGTATATAGCTGTTCATTCCTTATTATTATTTTCTCACCTAGTCCTTTATATTCTTACTATGAGTGAAACCACCTGGTATTTTTCCTTTTCTTTCTGTCTTATTTCACTAAGCATGACCTTTTCCAGCTCCACCCATGTTGCTGCAAAAGGTATGTGTTTATTTTTTTGGTTGCTGAGTAATATTCCACTGTGTATATGTACCATATCCTTTTAATCCACTCAATCAATTTTTGGCCATTTGGGTTTTTCCATGTCTTTCCAATTGTAAATAAAGGAACAATACACATGGGGATGAAGGTGTCTTTTTGAATCAGTGTTTTTGTGTCTTTTGGGTAGATACCTAGGAGTGGGGTTGCTGGGTAATATGAAGCTCCATTTTTAGCAGTTTGAGAAACCTCCAAACAATTTTCCATAGTGGTTGTACTAGTTTGTATTCCCACCAGCAGTGCAGGAGAGTTCCTTTTTCTCCACATCCTCACCAACATTTGTTGTTGCTAGCTGTTTTAAGATGTGCCATTCTCACTGGTATGAGGTGGTATCTCATTGTGGTTTTAATTTGTATCTCTCTTATTACAAGTGATGATGAACACTAGAAAAATATATTCTATATTTGTCTTTCCACCACTATATTTTATATCCCCATCTCTTTCTCCCTCCCCCCTAGGCCTCAGAGCCTTCACTGTGTTAACTTCTGCTAATTTTTCTAAGTATTTCACTTTGTCAAATTGTCCACTATGTAAATGTTCAGTGTTGATTTTTGTCATTCTGACTTGTTTTAGTACATGTAATTCCCTCCAACTTCTTCCATTTTGCTATAAATGACTGCAATTCTTCTTTCCTTATGGCTTAATAGTATTCCAGAGTATGGATATGCCATATCTTCTTGATCCAGTCATATATCAGTAAGCATTTAGCTGCTTCCTTACCTAGTTACTGTAAAATTCTGCACCTTCCTACTGGCAAGTAGTCCTTTCACTAACTAATCTTTATCTCCCAATTCTCAATACCTGTATCCCTACTATACTTTGTCCTGTACAAATACCATTTTTCTACCTGGTTTGAAAAGTTTGCTTTTCTGTTATCTCTTTGTCAAAGAGGAGCTAATAATGGCACCTCAGAGTACTAATGCAAGATTAAGTGATTTGTGTATCTAAAAGGCTTATACAGTGCCTGAAATAACCTAACAATTATGTTATAGTAGTAATAAATCCCCCCTTTTGCCATTTCTTGGCATTTTTCAGACCTCATAAATGTAGCTGTATTTCTTTACCTTCTATTAATTTCAACAGAGAAATAGAGGAGGAAAAAGAAATACCTAAATAATAAAGAAAATGAACAAATACAATACATGTCACACCTTTGTACCACCTCATTACCACTTCTTTGGGGATTTGTCACCACAAATATTGTAATAATTTAAAAACTGGTTTCTCTGTGTGTATCCTTACACCTCTTTAACAGTCAGTCTCCATCCTGGTAGCAACAAGGTCTAGTGTTAGCAACTAATTTCAAATTCTGTCACCACTCAGTGTCTTCTCCTCTAGTTCAGCATAATATCCAAATTCTTTCCCAATTCCCTATGTGATCTGGCCCCATCTTACTTCTGACCTCATCTCCTATTATACTTTCCTCTTTAATTATCTATAATTATGTTCTAGTCTACCAATCTTCCATTTTTAGAATATCTAGGCATATGTGGATTATTTTATTTGTGGAAGTTCTACTTCCCCAGACAGTCTGTGACTGGGTACTACCACAGGATATTTGTACTTACCATTACCTCTGATTAAAACTCTCTTTAGTTTTACAACATGATACATATACTGAAAAGTCACAATATTTTGCTCAAAGCACCTATAAACAGTGTGATCCACACAGTAAATGCTCAATAAATGTGTTAAATAAAGGAATGAAAAATATAAATGAACATGTTAACTCCAGAAAATGTTAGCTAAGTATAGCATTACATAAATGCTTTTGGTTCTAAGGTAGAATGTTGTTCATATTTTTAGGCAATTGATTTTTTTTATTTATTTGAACTTACTGGGATGTTCCTCCACAAATCTGAACTTTAGTTCAGTCAATATATTGAGTAGAAACCCACTGCTATTTACACAGGAATTGGTTCTAGGACCACTAAACTAAAATCATAATCCTTATATAAAATGACAGTCTACTTGTATATGACCTATGCACATCTCCCTTGTACTTTAAATCATCTCTTCATTACTTATTTCAATGTAATGGATAACCATGTGAATGTTATAAAATTAGTGGTTAGACTGTTTTGTTTAGGGAATAATGATAAGAAATTTGCATATTCAGTACAGATGCAACCATCATAGGCTATATATATAGCAGATAGCTTCCATCCATGGTTGGTTGAATTTGTGAGTATAAAACCCCTAGGTGTAAAGAAATTTCATAAACATTTACTGAATGGATAATATATGCCAAGTAATTGTGCTAAATTATAGAGGTATATTATTTAAATATTGTATTCTTCCTTCAAGGAGATTGTGGGTTATTTTATTTGTAGAAGTTCTGCTGCGCCAGACAGGCTGTGACTGGGTACTTTGTTTTTCTGTTTGCTTGTGTGATACTATAGTGGTTCTCCAGTGATAGAAACTTTATAAATACTATTATAAGACTAATTGCCTTACTTTCTTTAACCCTAGTTGCCATTGAAAATAACATTAACCTCCTCTGAAATACATCTCTTACCATACCTCAAGCTAAACTGATAGGCAAATGTCTACCAAGTGACTCCATCATAAATATAATGTTTACTGAGTAAGTCCTATAAACAGTGAGTTTCTTGCAACACATTATAATATTAGGTATTAGACATGAAAAGGTCACCAGTGTTTTCATTACGATCTTTAGTTCTTTATTTTACAATCTATTAAACAATACACAAAA